GGAATATCATAACACCAAACGATCAATCAAGCAAACAGTCAACACAAAAAGTCAACCCCGAAAAGTCAATCCGAAAAGTCAACCCCAAAAAGTCAATGCAAAGTCAACCACATCCTGCGATACTTACGTTGCTGTAAACACTAAAAACAACCCAAACAAGCATTAATCGAACACTAAATCATTTCAATTCGCAATCAAATGCATTATAACACCCAAATACCCGTAAAAACTACGGTCACGCACTCACCTTGATTCGGAAATAGATTAACTCACAAACTACTCCTCCAAAACAGGATCGGAAACCTGTTCTGGAAACTAGACAGCGCTATCTACACAACGGTATGTAGATTGCCTACTGGATCCCTCCGGTTCAATAGGAAAACAGCCCGCAAGTTCTCTGCTTGGAACTTCCAGTTTCAGAAAAACAATGATTTTTCCCAATATCGAAAAATGATTTGCGAGCAGAAAATACCTCTAAAATCAAAACCGAAAGAAGCTACGAAAACTAGAATCCGAGGTCTCTCCAGAGAAACAAAAATAATGACCTAGGTCCTTCCGAGCCGTTGGCAATCTGCCCCCAAAAACAGCAACCCAAGACTTCTTTATCACTTTTCAAAACGAAAGTTTCAGAAAATAATAACGACATGCTTAATTCAAAAACACAGTGAGAACGGATTATACCTTTGAATCAAGATCGAAAACTTTATCTAAAAACTACACAGATATAGCTTTCCAACGGTATAAAGATCATCCTCTGAGTCTCTATGGTTCAACAGGAATACTCCTTTGAAGTGGACTGATTGCAGAAGCAAAGCTGCAGAAACCTTCCACAGTAAAACGACTATAACTCCCGGAATACACATCTAATTAACAAACCGTTTTCTCCTAATTCAATAACAGAGAGTGAAGAATTTACTCTCAAAGTTTCACTCCAAACCAATCTGATCTTTCCAACCGTTCATCTCCTCATATAAAACCGGACAGAACAAGCCTCAAGAACAATCTCTCCTCTCTCTCTCTATGAACACGAAAAACAGCCTCTTTTTCTCATTTCTGATTCTTGGCCACTCTCTTAATGATTCAGCCTTATCCCCAAAACAAGGCTCCCCAAAACATAGCTCCCTAAAACATGGCTTTTGACTTTTATAAAAATAAAATAACAACTCGGGTTTCCAACCGAAACCCGCCAATTATTCACAAATTTTTGGTTCGCGGTCGTTACA